CAGCTGCCTGATGGGAGGTGCACATGCATGCATGGCAATCTGGGGCGATGGCTCACGTGCCCACAGAGAGGGCTCAGCATGCTACTTCTGGCACGCGTTCCATAGATTCGCCATCATGGCTTTAGAAAGATTGCTGAAAAGAGTAAGAAAGATGATTAGGTGGAGGCTACAACATTAAGAATGTTTGCAGGAATTGGGTATGTCTAGTCTAATGAAAAGAAGGACATGTAGCAGTCTTCCAATATTTGAGGGGTTGTCACGAAGAAGAGAAAGTCAGTTTATTCTCCAAAGCATTTGAAGGCAGGACAAGAAAAATGGTTGCAAACTAATAGAATACAGATCCAACATAGAACTAAGGAATTATTTCATGAAGTGAGAATAATTAATCAGTGGACTGTTTTGCCTCTAGAAATTGTGGGTGCTCTTATCACTGGAGTTTTTAAAGAAGAGATTAGACAGCCATTTGTCTGAAATGGTATAGATCTGCTGCTTGAGGTGGGGGTTGCACTAGAAGACCTTCAAGCCCCATTCCAACTCTGTTATTTATGTTTCATATTTATTATGAAAATAGAACCTAAATGGGTAGGAGCCCACTGAACTCTACATGTGGAATAATGAAGGATAATTAACATAGGTTAATCCCTATTCAAATCTAAAAATCAACAAGAGATATAGGACATAAAACAGCTTTGTTAAACTGTGGTTAAATATAATGCTAAATTAGAATGCCAGTTTGGCCAAGAGTTTAAGGCACCATGCTAGAAAATGAGAGTTCAAGTTCTACCTTTGTCATGAAGTCAGCTGGGTGACTTTGGTGTGTCTCTCAGCCCAACTCACCTCATAAGGTTGTTGTTATGAGGAAAGTAGAAGAAGAAAGATGTGTTGGACCAACTTGAATTATAGGCAGGGGTGGGTTTCTACTGGTTCTGTCCACCTCTGTAGAACCGGTAGCTCTGAAGAGCAGCAGACATAGAACTGGTTCTATGTCTGCTGATGTTTTTGCCCACCCGCCCACTCGGGCTCTTACCTGATCTTTATTTCCTGATTTTTCAACTTCAGCTGCCAAACGAGGCACAGCTGCAGTTAAAAAAAAGCAGGAAAAGAAGGCTGTTTCAAAGGCTGCTTCTCTGCACGTAGCATGCTGATGACAATTTACAGGCGTGCGGCTCGCAGCGTGCAGGGAAGGACATCATAAATCACCGAAACTCGTAAATCCCAAACCGGTAGTTAACCCTGTCGTATCCCACCCCTGGTTATAGGTAACCCGCAACTTATAACCATTCATTTAGTGACCATTCAAAGTTACAATGGCACTGAAAAAAGTGACATAGAACCAATCCTTGCACTTACAACCAATGTAGCATCTCCACAGTCACATAATGAAAATTTGGGTGCTTGACAACTGGCATGTATTTAAAATGTTGCAGATCCCAGGATCATGTGAGTGCTATTTGCAATCTTCCCAGCTGGCTCCTGGCAAGCAAAGTCAATGGGGATACCAGATTCACTTAATGACCACATGATTCACTTAACTTCTGCATAATAATTTGCTTAACAACCTCCTCGCTTCACAACAGAAATTCTGGTCTCAACTGTGGTTGTAAATTGAGAACAATCTGTAAAAATAATAAAGATGGGATACAAATAAATAAAAATTGAACATATTTAAGCCAAGTTTAATCTTTCTGTAACCTAGATCTATAAACAGAAATGCATTTACCAAGCAGGTTTCTGAAAAACTGTTTCAGATTTTCTAGCAAAAATGCCATATTAATTAGCATTTCAAGGTCTTTTTGCAATAGTCATTATGCTTAGTTTTGACTGTAAGGGCTAGATGTTATCTGATAGCATTAACACTAGGAATGGATTCAATACACAATCAGTCTCTAAGGACTAATATGACTGATAAATAGCCTAATTTAAGGGTTTTCTTGTTCCTCCCCTTCTCACCTTTTAAGTAGTATTTTCTTGATTCAAGAGCAGCTAAAATGAAAAAAAAAGGAGTAAAAGGAAAACAAGAAATAAATAATTCCAAGTAATATCTTGGAATGATAATGTAAGAGTGTTGGATTTCAAAGCACATGCAAAGGTTTCTAGAAAGCTAGACAAAGTGAGAAAAAAATATCTCTGGCTTCCTGACTAAATAAAACCAGGAAGACCCAAAGTAAAGTAACACCAACTCTCAGTGGGAATAAGAGAAAACGAGCCCTTTAGCATAAATCAGTGATCCCCAACCTTTCTTATGCCGCGGCCCAGTATCCCCAACCTTTTTTATGGCGTGGCCCGGTACCGGCATTAGCTGGGCGCCGCCATCTTTTTTTGATGAAAAAGTGCTTCCGGTGACCTCACCGGAAGCACTTTTTCATCAAA